GGAGTCATGTGCAAGGAATGCGGCCTCAGAATGGAGCCCTGTGTTCTCCATGACTGGACTTTAGGGACACAGGGTGCTTAGTTCTGCCGTCCTTATGGGCACTAAAGGGAGCAGAGGCTTTGAACTCTGGGTTGTCCTGGAAAACCCAGGATGGGTGACTGCGTGTAGGGGCGGTCCTAGCTCCTGCCCAACCTCCCTGACCTTCTGCCGGCTCTCCCCAGGGAGACTGAGCCCTCCCCAACAGGAGTCCCTGGGCAGTTGTTAGGTCTGTCCCTCAGTCATTGCAATATCCCTGGTCTGGAGGGACGGGGGGCTGCAGCTCTTCCTCCATGGCCTGGACCCAGAGAGGGAACCCCCCTCACCCCCCTAGCCAGCCCCTCCGCGTTCATCCATGCCTGGAAGGGAGTTCTGAAAAAGGAAATGTGTGAGTTCTTTGTAAACGCCTGTACTGTTCTGAAGTCGTTATCTACGCATTGCCTGATCCTTCTACCGGCCCTGTGCGGTGGGTTCTCCCCATTTTCAGATGGAAATAATGAGGCACAGAGAGGCAAAGTAAATTCCCCAAGGTCACACACCTAGTGAGCGGCAGAGCCAGGTTCTGGACCAGCTTCCGGTCACTGCCACTCCAGCACAATCCCCCCTGGCCCACCCCGGGTGGGTAGCAGCCCCAGCCTGGGGCTTATTTGAGTCCTTGGTACTTTTGACCTTCACGCTGCCCTCTGCTAAATTCAGCTGCTTTTTCCTCTTCAGGATCTTGCACACACCCTTCCTCTTTCTTCCTGATATCTTCCTGGTTGCCTCCCCGACTTCCCTTCCAGAAAGCCACAGGAATATTGTCTTTTCCGGTCCCTGCCCCTCAGACTTAGCCGATCTCCTTAAAAGTCTTTCCCCTCAGCCGTGGAATTGACCTTCAGTGTCCTGTTCGGCAAGCAGACGGAGCCCGTCTCTCCCTCCTGGCCCATCGGGCGGCTGGTCAGCCAGGTTGCTTGTGTGCCCAGCTCGGTGCCAAGCAGCCTGGAGAAGAGGCTGTCTGGCTGCTCCCCCTGGTTCCTTCCGCTCCACTCTGGCCCATCTCCAGTTCCTCAGTGGAACCGACCCACGTACCTGGGTTAGCTTCTGCCCCTTACCCTTCGGCCCACAGTCCTGCCTCCAACCCAGTGAGACTGCACCTGGGAGCCGCCTCCTGCAGGTCGTCTGCCTCAGTCAAGGAAGGCAGGGACCACGAGTCAGAAGCCTGGCCTTCTCCCAGGGTTCAGCTCTGCGAACATCGGTCACCGTGTCTCCGGGCCACCACCTGTCCCTGCACTTTCATGTCTTTGTCTCTCAGGGCCTCCACCATTCCCGCCCCTCTGTCCACCCAGCGTGTTCCAGTGGCTCCTCGATGCCACATCCTCTGGATCCAGCCTCTCCTTCCCACCCTCGCCAAGCTTCCCTAAAGAGGAGGAAGCGGGGGCTTCTGGGAGCCCCTGTCCAGCCCTTGGTTGCCCATCTTGCTCCAAGGACATTCTCCCTGAAAGAGCCCCCAGGGTCTTTGTTCCAGTTTGACCCCTCGGGGGCATGTCTCCAGGAAGTAACCATCCTCTCCTTCCCACTTACTCATCCCCTCAGGACTCTCACCCGCCTGGTGCTCCTGCCACCTTCCTTCTCCAGCTTCCCCTCCCACCAGGAGTGAGCTCTGTCCTCCTGGTTGCCTCTCGTCGTGCATGACCCCTGGTGATTGTGTCCTCGCCTGTAGCACGGTGGCCTCGCAGCTCTGAGTCTCCGTGTCCAGCCCTGCTCTCTCCCAGGTGTCAGTGCAAGCCTTTGCGCGCGTTTACTTCAGGGCATTCGGTCAAAAAGCCATCGCCGGCTATTTGATCTGGGTGTCGCTGCAGCTCCAGGCCTGGTGCTGTGGGGCTGCAAAGATGAGCATGCTGCCCGGCCGGTGTGGCTCAGTGGTTGAGCATTGACCTATGAACCAGGAGGTCACGGTTTGATTCCTGGTCAGAGCACATGCCCGGATTGCGGGCTCGATCCCTGGTGTGGGGCGTGCAGGAGGCAGCTGATCAGTGATTCTCTCTTATCAGTGATGTTTCTATTTCTCTCTCCCTCTCCCTTCCTTTCTGAAGTCAATAAAAATATACATATATATATGTATATATTTTTTTAAAAGAGGAGCATGCTGTGAACTCCGCGCTGGGGAGCCATAGGGGGTCAGAGGAGATGGACACCCTCTATGTTCAGAACAGATGTCTTGAGTGCTTGGTAGCAAGCAGTCAGTGCAGTGACAGACAAGGGAAAGTGGTCTTCAACCCAGGCAGGGCCATGAGGAAGCCCTTGGGCATCTCCATTTTAAACCAAAAGCAAACTCCCTGACGTGGCTTCTTCTGTAAACGGTGTCACGTTTGTCTGAGTCTGGGTCTGTGGCTTAGTCACCTCAAAGGCCCTCAAGGCTGCTCTGCACACAATAGGTGCTCAATAAAAGCTTGTGCCGTGAATGTGGAAAGTCTGTTCTGTTCATCTGCTCAGTTTATAAGGGACCTATGGAGCTTCCCACCCATCCCCATTCTCCCACCGCTCCCTGCACCCCGCTGTGACCGGGAACATTTGTTGCAATGTTTACCTCCGTCCCCACAGGGAGCTTTGAGGCCCTGTTTCTCCTGATCAAAGAGACCACCACCCCCCCCCACAGGTGCTTGGCACACAGCAGGCACCCAATAAATAATTATTAAATGAATGAATGAAGCTTTGTCAGTATCTCAACTCCTAGCCAGTTGCCTGCTGTGTTGTAGGCTTGGAGGGAAGGCTAGTTTGAATACATGAATGAAATGACTTGAAGAGAATTTGACACATAAACCTAACTTGTCACAGGCGACCGGCAGGGTCCCCTCTGATGAGATTTACAGAGATGCCACTGGCTCATGCTTCCTCCGTGTGGGGAACGTCTACAAGCTGTCAGGCTCCGAGTGGAGGGGTGGCGATGTGGGATCTCCACATGGTGCTGCAGACACACCTGGAGGGGGGCGTTTTGCCCCCTTCAGAGCCTCCCTACCCTGAATGGAGATAAGGACCCACCCCCACCCCCGCGAGCCATGGGAGTTGGCGCGGACCCTTTAGATCCGGTTCGGCCAGCGGGTCTTTTCAATCTCATCTCCCCGTGCTCTCTCCGCAGGCTGCCCGGCGCCCGGGGGAGGCTGCGGATCCCCGGGCCATGGTCCAGTCTCGCCGGACCTGGAACCTGGGAGCCCCGCCCTCGCTGCGCGGCCTGTGGAGAGTGGGCCGGGCCCCGGAGGAGCCCGAGCGGGGATGGCCCGCCCCGCCCCAGCCAGCCCGGCCGCCCGCCCTTTCCCACACACCGGCCCGGGGAGGTTGAGAACTGGTGAGTCCGCATTTTTAAAATGCCTCTTGATTTCCCTTCCTTCCTCCTCCAGACACCCGGGATGAGAGCGAGGTTTCTCGCCAGTTCCTCGGCTCAGGCCGAGCTGTCAGGTAAATTACAGGGTCCGGCAGCCGGGGAGCCGGGCGGGCGTGGAGTTGGGGCGTCAATCTCGCCCTGGCTGCCGCGCTGCGCCATCTGCGCGCAGAGGAGTCGCTGGCGGCCGCGGAGTTAAACTTTAACGCGGTCCCTAGAGCAGGGGGAGGACGCTGCCCACAGCCACGCGGTCCCAGCCCGGCCAGGTCGGGGGCTCTGCCGTCAGCCGGTCCTTGGCGGACGGCTCGGTCTCCCTTTCGTTCCGGCCACCGGCGGCTGGTAAACAAGGTAGGTGAGGTAGCTGCCCGGTGGCTGCCCGGCTCCCTGCGCGCGCGGACACCTGATGCCGCCTGGGCTGGCCCGAGGGTGGACTGAGGCTGCTCTGGAGCGGGGCCTGGCAGGGTTTGGGCGCCGTGTGCTCGGTTTTGGGTACCCATCCAGGTGGCTTGGGTAGGGGCCCCAACAGCAGGTGGGCAGCGAAGGAGCCCCTGGATCTGGGTCCCCCACTGGCTGTCCCCCTGGGGAGCTGTCAACACCAGCTCTGCTTTCTGGGTCACGTCCCCTGGTGCCTCCGACAGCGAGAAGTGAGTGGCAGTTCTGATGATGGGTTGGGGCTGGCTTGTCTGGATTGTCAGGGGTGGGGAGCTGCCCTTGACCCTGGCCCAAGTTCGGCCTGGGCAGGGCTTCCTAGAAGTGTCCGGGGAGAGAGGCGTCTTTGGGGAAGATGGCTTCAGGCGTGTGCTGTGGTCTCTTGTTCTTGACCCACAGGGAAAGGGGTTTAGTTTAGATCGCTGTGAGCTGGCTGTGTCCCTCACTGCTGTCAACTCCAAGCCCATCCATGGAAGGAGGGGGAAACTGAGGCCCAGGGAGGGCGCATAGCGAGCTCCTCTTGGGCTCTCTCTCACCACGTTTGTGCCGTCACTGGCAGCCACAGTGATGCCCTCCAGGGTCTCTCCGTACGGGATGGTGAGGCTGGGTGGCCCTGGGGACCTTCGGGAAAAGCTCGGGCTGTGGGATCAGGTAGCCCCAGTTGTCTGGAAGGGACTGAAGATGGTCTCCACCCCACAAGATTGTCTTAAGGATTGCAAATGGAATAGGAACTAGCATTGCTTTTCTGGAAAAAAAAGAAAAAAAAACTCACCCAAACAACCACCAAAATTTGTGTCCTTGAAAACTAAAAAAACAAAAAAAACAACAACACCCCAAAGCAAAAACAAAGTATAAAAAAGAAAAGAAAAGCCCTGGGCAGGTGGGGTGGAGTGTCGGCCCGTAAACCGAAAGGTCGCAGGTTCAATTCCCTGTCAGGACACATACTAGTACTTAGGTTGTGGGTTGAATCCCTGGTCAGGGAGCATACGGGAGGCAGCCCAGAGATGTTTTTCTCTGTCTAGGGAAGAAAAAAAAAAAAAAGGAAAATAAAAATCACCTACCGTGGAAATATAGAGGGTTCGGTTCCCGGCCGCCACAACAAAGGGAGTGTCACAAGAAAGCGAGTCACAAACTTCAGGCTGGTGGAGGGTCTTGCCTTCGATTTGTAAAAAACGCAGTGTCTGTGGGATGCAGTGAAGCGAAGCACAGGAAGAAAATGCCCGTGTGAGCTGTCACTAAGGGTTCCGTACAGTTCCTCCCAGCCTTGTGTGTGCACGTGCGTGTGTGTGCGTGTGCGTGTGCGTGTAGGTCTGTCAGATTACATACACGCTTTTATCCACTTTTAAAATTTGAGACAAAGCTCAAATGAAATCCCGTGTGTGAAATGCTAAGCCTCGTGCCTGCTACTGGGTAGGGTCTCAGCCAACGTGGTACCCCGCAGCCCCCACCTTTCTGGGTACCTGGCACGGTGTGAGCACCTTATTTTTAATTTTTATTATTTTGTGTGTGAGCACTTTATGCGTGTCACCCATTCTGTCCTCACCGCAGGACTGTGAGTTTGATGATGATTATTTTTTTAGGTTTTTTTTTTTTTTAAGTTTGATTCTTTATCCCCATTTTATTGACAAGGAATCGGAGGGTCAAGGAGGGCATGAAAGGCTGGAAAGCACTTGGCCGGCGCTCAGAATATCCTCCCAGCCCAGGGCGGCGGTTCTGCCGTTTGCCCTGTGAGGCAAGCCCCTCCCACCCACCCGGTCCCACAGGCTGCGGTGGGTTGGATGGGTGTCGCTGCCAGGTAGCTCTCTCCCCCATCCGGTGTGTCAGCGGCCCGAGGGATGCGCTTTACTGGCCCTGAACATGCTTTTGGAGGCCGCAGGGGCCAGGCCACCCAGCGTGGGGTTGGTGCTAATGAAGGCAGGGGAGAAATTGCCACCTAGAGGCAGCCAGGGGAACAGAGCCAGGCCCTGTGCTGATGCGCACAGCCCGGTTGGCATTGCTTCCTCTGCTACTCTCTGCAGCGGGTGCTCCTGAGCAGCGTGAGCTCCCACGCCACCTGCGGGAGACGGGAGGGGAGCCCCGCAGGGTCCTGGGCGCCCTCCTGTAGAGAGTCTGGGAGCAGCTTCTGGAAAGAAAGCGCAGCCCCTGCCCAGTGCCAGGCTCCCCTCCGTGCAGGGCAGGCATGTGACAGCGTGTACGGCGGGGTTGGCTGGAGCGTGTGCAAGCCAAGCTCTGCCGCGGCCCTACTCAGTGGTCCACGGCCGGCCGGCAGTCAGAGTCTCACCCATCTTTTCTGTCCTGGGACAGGGCGTGGGAAAGACAGCCCGGCCGGCGGTGATGAGGACTCCGGTGCCCGCAGTGGGGCACGCCCGGCCCTAGCCCAGTGCCGAGCCCTCAGCGTGGACCGTGCCGGCCCCGGGAGCCCCCGCCGGCTCTACCTGAGCGTGCAGGTAAGCACAGGGTGGGGGGCTTCCAGACCACGGGGGGTCCAGCCAGGAGTGTGTGTCTTGCCCTCTGAGCTGTAGTGCTGGGTCCCTACAGGCTTCTCGGGGGGAAAAAGGCTCCGAGGGAGGGCCGGGGACCTGCCTCGTGCGTCTTTGCCAAGCTCCGCACAGCACATGCGCCCGTGAGCCTGCCTGGACGGAGCGATTTGCTTTGCTGGGTTATCTCGAGGGAACTATCAGGAGATGACAGAAGCTTTCCAGCCACACCCTGGCTGAGGTGTTCTAGTGGGAAGTGCGGGGCCTTCTCTGAGAAGCTATTAGGAAGGCGGGCAGGTTTTAGGGTAGCTGTTTGTTCCCGCTCCGACGTGAGTCTGTGGGGCAATACTTGTATTTCCTCGTCTAGAGCCGTCATCCAAAGCGAGAGAGAGGGCTTGGCCAAAACTTGGGTCCTTTCCTCTTGCAGTTATCACCAAATGACTTTCAAAAGACAAACTTTACGTCTATATGTATATTCAGTTGCAGGAAAAAATACAGAACGACAGCAGCAATAATGGCTACTGTTTACTGAACACTGACTTTGTGCTAGGCACGGTTCCATGTATGATGTGTCTCACATCCGTCCTCAGAAACAGTCTCAAGACGGTTACTGTTTTATCGAAGTTTTGTGGATGAAGTCATAGAGGTTCAGAGAGGTTAAGTAACTTGCTACTGGTCGCACAGCAAGCTGGGATCTGACCCACTAAATATGACAAGCTTTATGACGTGATGTAAAGGGTTCGCACAGGGCAGAGATGTGATACCGAGGGACCGAATGCCTCCCGTCGTCCTGTATCTCTGAGGAATCCACTAGTGAGAGTTCAGGGTCTATCTTTCTCACGCATCCACTTCAACATATTTAGACATGTTTTTTATTTTTATTTTATTTTATTTTTATTTATTTATTTATTTTTTTAAAATATATTTTATTGATTTTTTACAGAGAGGAAGGGAGAGAGATAGAGAGTTAGAAACATCGATGAGAGAGAAACATCGATCAGCTGCCTCCTGCACATCTCCCACTGGGGATGTGCCCGCAACCCAGGTACATGCCCTTGACCGGAATCGAACCTGGGACCTCTCAGTCCGCAGGCCGACGCTCTATCCACTGAGCCAAACCGGTTTTGGCCATGTGTTTATTATTTATGTCCACATACTGTTCTGTGGCTAGCTCTTTCCTTCAACAGTAAACCTTGGCGATTTCTTCACGCACGTCAATATTTAGAGAAAGACCTCATTCTTTTGAACTGCCGCATAATATTCCACTCCTGGGTTTACCCTGGACTTCCTAACCGACCCTCTGTCTTACTTGTGACTGCAGCGAGCTCCGTGAATATCTGCATGTCCGCGCGGTTCTAGCGTTGAGTAATGTTAGGGCTGCGCTGGCTCTGCACTTTTGCAATGAATCTGTTTGTTACCACATGTTTATGAAGTGCTTACTCTGTGCCACGTGCTGTGTAGGTGCTGACACACAGCAAAGAAGAGACACACACCCGGCAGGCTAGTGGAGGTGCCGGAGAGGAATCAGGTGATGGCAAACGTAGGAGGGCAGACGGGCGAGGGCCACGGATGCGGAGGCAGAGGATGAGGGACCAGAGTGACCGGGGCGTGCTGGCAAGCCACCCCCAGCCCACGAAGAGGCCCCGCCTTGAAGGGACACGTGCAAGTGGAGGGCAGGATGGGGAGTGGGAAGTGCGTGTGCCCTCTGAGCATGTCCTCCCGTGTGCAGACAGAAGTCCTGGTCCCAGGCGCTGTCTGGCCCCAATTTTCTTTTCTTTTTTAAAATAAGACTCTCTTGTTTATTTGTTTTTTAATCCTCACCTGAGGCTATGCTTTTATTGAGTTTTAGAGAGAGAGGAAAGGGGAGAGAAATAGAGAAACATCGATGGGTTGCCGAACAGAGATCTAACCCACACCCTTTTGATGCACGGGATGATGTTCCAACCAACTGAGCCGCCTGGCCAGGGCTGGCCCCAAGTCTTTTTTTAAAAAAAAATTATATATTTATTGTTGAAAGTATTACATATGTTCCCCTCTTCCCCCATTGACCCCTTCTAGCCCGCCCTGCCCCCTGCCCCAGGCCTTCACCACCTTACTGTCTGTGTCCATGGGTGATGCATATATCATACAAGTTCTTTGGTTGATCTCTTCCCACCCACCAACCTTCTCCCGCCTTCCCTCTGAGATTCCGCACCCTGTTCCATGCTTCTGTGTCCATTTTGTTAATTAGTTTATTTTGTTCATTAGATTCCACATGTGAGTGAGATCATGTGATACTTGTCTTTCTCTGACTGGCTTATTTTGCTTACCTAATACTCTCCAGGTCCCTCCATGCTGTCTCAAAGGGTCAGAGATTCTTCTTTTTTACTGCCGCATAGTATTCCACGGTGTAAATGTACTCGGCTTTTTTATCCACTCATCTGATGGGCACTTGGGCTGTTTCCAGATCTTAGCTATGGTAAATTGCGCTGCTATGAACATAGGGGTGCATATATCCTTTCTGATTGGTGTTTCTGGTTTCTTAGGATATATTCTTAGAAGTGGGGTCACTGGGTCAAATGGGAGTTGCTATTTAATTTTTTGAGGAAACTCCACACTGTTTTCCATAATGGCTGCACCAGCCTGCATTCCCACCAGCCGTGGACTAGGGTTCCCTTTTCTCCACATCCTGGCCAGCACTTGTCATTTGTTGATTTGTTGGTGGTAGCCAATTCTGGCAGGTGTGAGGTGACACCTCATTGTCGTTTTAATTTGCATCTCTCTGATGATCAGTGACTTTGAGGAGCTCCAAGACTCGATCTGATCACCGGCCCAGAGCTTGCTGTCACTTCAGAGGTTTTCCCTGGCCCTTGTTGTGTGGTTCATCTGAAAACACAACCAAATGGTCCTGTTATCAGTCGGTTCTATGAGAAAAGCGGGCAGGGCCGGGGCGAGAACAGTTAAAGACACCAGAGAAGCCTTTTTTTTTTTTCTCTGAGTCGAGCCACTGGTAGTTAAGTTGGGAGGTGGTCAGAACCGGCTGCCTGGGGCTGGGCGGTGGCCCTGCTCTTGCATTTTGATTATGGGGTGTCGGGTTGTGCTTGCAGCCCATCCGCTGGGCTCAGCAGATCCGCTGAGGATCTCTGTGGAGCTCCAGCCAGCAGCCGGTGCCCGTGCCCCCGCCGTCTGAGCCCCGCCAAGCGCTGTTGCGGTTGCGGGTGCTTCTCCGGGTCGGGGAGGTGGGGCCAAGGTAGGGGCCCAGGCGCAGGGAGGCGACAGCAGGCGGAGTGACCCTCCCGGCCAGCCTCCCACGCAGCTGGAACCTGAGCGAGTCCCTCTGGAGCACCCTCGAAATTCCCAACCCCCTGGGGGCCGGCTGCCCTTCCTGTGGTCTGGCCAACGGGCCAGAAATAGTGCAACCTTTGCTCTGGTCGGCAAATGGAAACTTCCAGCTGCCGGCCGCTGCCGCCGCCGCCGACGAGCCTGCTCGTGATGGTGTGGCAGTGGGTCGGAGGGCGGGGACAAAAGAAAGTTGGCAGCTTTTCCTAAGTATGAGGGCTGGGCCGTCCACCCTCCCGCCTCCAGGAGAACGTGGTGGGGTCGTGGGGTCGAGAGGGAGGGAGCGGATGTCGCTTCTCGCCTCTGGTCCATTCTCTCTACGGGCTTTTGGGGGATTAAAGTAAAACATCTGAAGACACAGAAATACCGTAACCGTCCCTGGCAGGGAGCTCACACTCCGTGTCAGACCCTTGGAGTATCTGCCTAAGGCATCGCCGTCACTTTTTATACCAGCTCCTCGAGGCGGGTGGGGGTGATCTTTTCGGTTTCAAGAGTGGGGAGAAGGACGTTTCGGGGGAGGAAGGAACTTGCCCAGAGCCACACAGATCACAAGAGGCGGGGAGCCGGCCGGGCCTTTTGGACGCAAGACTCGAGGCCCGAAGCGGTTTTAAAACCATAGCATGGGTCTCTTTGGAATACGGTGGGCACAGAGCCACACAAAACGTGTCTTGAACCTCTCTGCCCAGATAACCACCTCTGTTGATGTTAAAAAACAAAGCGCGGTAGCCCGAGCCGGTTTGGCTCAGTGGATAGAGCGCCGGCCCGAGGACTGAGGGGTCTCGGGTTTGATTCCCAGTCAAGGGCACGTGCCTCGGTTGCAGGCTCGATCCCCGGCCCCAGTTAGGGTGCATGTAGGAGGCAACCAATCGATGTGTCTCTCTCACATCCCTCCCTCTAAAAATCCATGGAAAAATGTCCTCGGGTGAGGATTCACACACACACACACACACACACACACACACACACTGTAGATGTTTATAAGGTTAAAAACCCAAATGTCCACAGGTCCACAGGTTCCAAGTGAAATGGGAAGCCTCCCTTTCCTCCTTCCCATATTCTCTGTTTCTTTTTATTCTCACAAAAGCTTGAATGATGCATGTTTTTCCTCTCACCCGACCTCCCAGAGAGAACCTCTCTCTGTATATTTCCCAGATGTTTTTTTTCGAGGCGTGTTTTATTTCCATGGTCCTCAAATGGGATGGCACGTTACGTGAGGTTCTTACCTCGGGCGGCGTTCTGGGTGAGCTGCGATGATTGATTTCCTGGGGGGGGAGGGGGGACTTCTTGCCCCTCCCCTTCTCTCACCTGCCCACCGGGCAGCTCTACCCAGCCTTTTTGCCTTTGACGAGAAGATGGGGTCCCGTGGACTCTAGATGGCCATGGGGGGTGGGCCAGGACCTTCCCCTGCTTGCTTGGACCCGCGTGCCCCCTCCTTGGGCGCCGTTGGCTGGTGCCATCTGGAGGTGGGGCAGTTGGCTTCCTGGGGGAGCTGCCTGAGGTTGCCATGTGCCTGAGTCGAGGGGGCTACTGTACCTGCGATGGTGATTCATGCCCCGTAGGGCCGAGAGGACGTTGTCTGAGGTTTTCTAAGTGCCCAGTGGAGAGGGCCGGCTGCCGGTGGAAGACAGGGGGACACACCGCCTCTGTGTTGTTGCAGGATCTGGGCACCTTTCCTTCCAGACTCCAGGCCTGTTTGTCCCCGTCGACCCGCACGGCGAGGGGTGGACCTGCGGGCCCGGGTTCTCACCAGCTCCAAGGGTGCCACACTCTCAGGGTCAAGGGCGCCCCCCTTCCCCCCACCCCACCCCCCCGCAGCCCCCTTCACGTGAGGATTCTGGTTGTGTCTTGGCAGCAGGCCCAGCAGGACAAGGGGTGCAAGAACAAGAGTCAGGGGACAAAAGAAGAGAAGCTGCTGAAGAGGCAGGCGCCGGCCCCCGGGCGGGACCGGGAGGCACAGGAGGCCGGCGGCACCATGAATGTAGAGAAAGCAGGTAACGGAGGTCTGGCCGCTGACCTGGAGCGGCCCTGGCGAAAGCTGGCCGGAGGGGAGGCACTGGCTCGCGGCGTCGGAACTGTCCCCACACACTGTCCTCCTCGCCAGAGGTGGCCCGTCCAAATCCCGGAACTCAAACCCCAGCCTGCCCAGCCCTCCTCCGGGCCCGCCTCCCAGCGCCCAGGTGATAAGAGGCTCTGGGGTCGGATTTCCCCACTTTATTCTCTCCCCAGTGCCTGTCGAAAGCAGGGCGGCCGGATCAGCTCAAAGATGCCCCCCCACCGCCTGCAGAGAGGCCTGGCCGCCTTCCCTTGTATCTGTGGGTCCACTGGGACCCAGAGACCCTGGGGCAGGGCCCCACTCTGCTGCTTGCGGCCGGGACACAGGAGCTGATGGCTCCTCTCTCCTCTGGCGGGGCTGACTCCTGGGAGACTCCAGGGGCCCCTTGGTGCGATTCCCCCGAGCAAGGCCTGGCCCGGTGACCGCTGGGCAGGAGCATCCTCGAGGCGCCCACGGTGGAGGCCACGAGCCGTGGAAAGAAAGGGCCGGTCTTTCGCTTGCTTTCCTCGCCTGCCGCCAGGGTGATTTGCGTCTGGACTTGCCTCGCGGTGGAAGCACCTAATCCGTCCTCTGAGTCCGTGCCAGGGCCGCGCTCGCCCGTCTGTCTGGGCGGGCACTCTGGCATTCGGCGGCAGGTGTGGGGTCTGGCCGAAGTCTGGGCAGACCGGCCTTGGGGAGGGGGGCACCGCCCAGCCGATCAGTGGGCTGAGAAGGGAGAAGCCAGTTCTAGTCACAAGGGAGGTCTGACTTCTGTCAAGAGGACCAGGGTGGGGCCTGTGTGTCCCTGAGCCCGAGTGCCTGAGGGGCAGCGCCCAGGCACGGCAGGTCCTGAACACGGACACGCCAAGCGGTGTGCACCTCCTCCGTGTAAGGGCCGTTCAGTAGCGTGTCCCCAAGTGTCCTCTGATCGCCCACCGTCCCTTAGCTCCTTCAAGGGCTTTTCTCCCCCAACAAGCACTCCCCAGGCCCCTCCCAGCTCCCCGGGCACACGGCACAGGGTGCACCCCAGCAGGCCTGGGCTCTCGGGGTCTCCCAGAACCTTCTGGGAAACGAGCAGCGTCCTGGACAAGGAGGCTCTTCCATGTGCTGTGGGCACCACCCACTCACACCCGGGCATCCCTCCTGGTGTCCAGGCTCCTGTCCCAAGGGTGCCTCTTGGGGTAAGGCCCATTGTCCCCATTTTATTTTTTGATATTTTTATTGATTTCAGAGAGGAAAGGAGAGAGAGATTGAAGCATCAATGACGAGAGAGAATCATTGATGGGCTGCCTCCTGCACACCCCACATTGGGGATCAAGCCCGCAACCCGGGCATGTGCCCTGACCGGGAATCGAACCGTGACCTCCTGGTTCATAGGTCGACGCCCAACCACTGAGCCACACCAACTGGGCCGTTGTTTCCATTTCACAAACGAAGAGGGGCCTCTCTCACCGGAGCCCGGCACCCCTCCCACCCTTAGCAGCCTGCAAAGGCCCGAGGGCCATGCCGGGCCCGTGCTGCCCGTGGCCGCCCATGTGCAGGCTGCAAGCGTCCCTCTGACCTCACTCTCTCCAAAACAGAGAGCAGAAGCTGGGCCGACAGTCTGTGACATGCAGGCGGTGTCACGTGCAGGCCATATGGCTGGGCCACTAGCCAGCCAGGGTCCCTCCTGCTCCAGCTCTTGAGTCAAAGTCCTCCCAAGGGGCTGTGAGGGAGGGAAAAGCCAGCCCCTGCGTGCTTTGCCTCATGAGAGTGGGAGTGGGGACTTCTCACTCTCTACCCCCACCCCCCAGAAGGCGGGGAGTGCGCTGAGCCGATCTGCCCAGCCGGGACCTGCTCCCTCCACACTCCCCACTCCAGCCCGGGCTTGTCCGCAGTCGCCTCTGTGGGTCAGAGCTGCCAGCCGGCCAGGCCGGGCCGTGCGACTCCAGGAGCAGGTGGCTGCATTCACAGCCTCTGGGACCCCCAGTCCCGCCCACAGGGCTGCGGCTCCGGGGATCTCCTGTGGGGGAGCCCAGAAGCCCTGGGCTCTGAGGTCAAGCGGAGGCTCGTGGCCAGTGGGTGCTGCTCCTCCACTTTCCTCCCGGCCACTTTGTTCTCGGACTCCTCCTTCTGGCTCTGAGGGCTTTGGCCAGGGCCCGGATTGGGCTGCTGGAGAGAAGAGGCAAGTCCCCCGTCCTCGCCCCGCTCCTCCGCCCTCTCCCTTCTGAGCTCCGTGCCAGCTCCCGGCCTGCAGAGCTCACAGCCATTCGCGGTGCCCTCGAAGCAAGCTCTGGCAAGCCTCCTGGTCACAGGCTCCTCTCCGTGTCTTTGTCCTTACACCCATCTGTCTGTCTCTCTCCTGCTCCTGGTGGCAGGACAGTGGGAGGCTGTGGCAGGAGGAGGACTCGGGAGTCAGCCCACCCCGTACTAACAAGGGCTCCCACCCCTGCGGTCCCTGCAGTCCATCCCGCCCAGGGCAGGTGTCCGCCCTGGAGCGGCCTGTCTGTGTTCCTGTCCACGTGCCGTGTCTGTCTGTCTCTGTGTCCCGGTCTGTCTGTTCCTGGCACCTGCACACCTTGCCCTTTCCTCCCTCTCTGTGTGCTGGTGACCTCTCCCTGCGGAGGGAGCCCCCACTCAGTTTCACTCTGGAGCGGGTTTGGGGTTTAAAGAGGAAAGCATGCTCCCCTCAGAAGAGTGTTTTACGGGGAGGCAACCCCACTCCCTCCCAGCTGCTACCAGAGAACTTGCAGCTCTTTCTCAGCCGCCATGACTGGCCGGCGGGCCATGAGAAGGTGTCACCCATCAGGCCTAGAACCCATGCTCTGAAGGGAGTGTTCAGTGAAAGTTGCTTTCCTGAGTCCCAATCCAGGCAGTTCCGTCCCCCGGAAGCTGCCCGCTCAAGTCCCCCCGCTGCCCCACGCTGCTGCCCAGGCCTCTCCCTGCCCCATCCCCTCCGCTAGCATTCCCTCCTGTCCCCGATGATGGTGCGATGGTGCGGTCGGCCCTGCCAGGACGGCCCCTCTCCTCGGCCAGGGTGGGCCTCTGCTGCCCTGCTGATCGGCCACTACTTTGCTCATAGGTGGGCGTCTCTTTGGCAGCGGGAGGTGCTCGAGCCTGTCGGGGCCGCCAGGCGCGGCCCCCGCGGTGCATAGGATGGTGGAGGCCATGGCCCGGCTGCAGGAGGACAAAGCCCGGCTGCAGGAGGAGCTGGCAGCCCTGCGGGAGAGGCTGGCCCTCCGAGACAGTGACCAGCAAGCCACCTCCACCCAGCTGCAGAACCAGGTACCTGGGGAGGAGGGGACGGGCAGAGGCCGCTGCCCACCGCGGAGCAGGTCGGAGGACATCACCCCGGTCACCTGGAACCCTCCAGGCTGCCGGCCTGATGGACACCTGGGGGCTCCTCTCCCGGCTCGGGAGTGCACAAGCGGGCGAGGTGGCGAGAGTCAGAGGCCTGGCCGTCCTCCTGCCCATTCCTCACGGTCCCCGGGGCCCGGACCTGCCTCCCCAGAGTGACGGGCAGCACGTGCAGACGTGAGAGCAGCAGGGGGGCTTCCCGCCCCGAGTCCACCCCATCTGCTCGGCAGCCCGAGTGGACACAGGTCATTGCAGAGGTCACCCCCCGGAAACCCAGCCGGAAGGGGGGGGCGGTGTGAGTGCACGTGGAGGAGGGAGCTCTCAAACCGCTGGAGGCCAGGGGGAGCCACAGGTTTAGGCTGAGAGCATCGTTTTCTTCGTTCGAAGGCCAGGGGGACACTCGGGGACTCTCAGCTCCCGAGCTGCACGCCCGGTGGGGCCGATCACCAGCCCCCCTCTGCATGCCTGGCTGCTTTATTCTCTTCTTCCCCACGCATGGGCGCCCAGGCCCCTCTGCTTGGGCTCCGCTCCCCACTCCCGCTGTCCTGTCTGTGTCTCGTGCCTGTGTCTGACCCTCCCCACTTCCCCACGGTCCCCACTGTCTGCCCCTCCCCGGCATCGGATCTGGGCCTGGTCTGTGGAAAGCCCTGCCTTTGGGGGAAGCGAGTTCTTTCTCTGTGGTCCCCTAGCACGTGGCCCTTCTCTTGACGGAGCATCATGAGTGCTGTGGCATTTCCCCAGCCTTCAGGTGTGTCCTGCTCTCAAGAACTACCTGTCCCGACCACTCAGCCCCTTGCTGGGTTGGGCGGCCCTCCTTGGGGCGTCCCTAGTGCCCGGGTCTCCCTCTTACAGGCTGACCCCATTGTTTGCTGCCTCTGGGCCCGTCTGCCCCGCGAAGAGGGGTTCCCCAAGGCAGGCTGTGCCGTGGCAGCTTTGTACGCTGCTGGCTCCTGCGGTGCCCACCTGCCTTCCTGCCAGATGTTTGCTGGGTGTCCAGTATGTACAGGCACCGAGCTGAGTCCTGGGGATGCCCAGGGAGACAGGCACGTCCTGGCCTGTGGGGGCTACAGGCTCACGGAGGACGGACATTGGTTACATGCACCTATGTCAAAGGGCTCCAAGGGTGGGCACACGTGGGGCATAAGGGCTTGGTCTGGGAGGTCAGGACCTGCTGGGGAGGTCAGGGATGGCTTCCTTGAGAAAGTGACACTGAGCTGAGGTGGGGCCCAGAGCAGAGGAAATGTGTTCTGAGCCGAGGGAGCAGGTCAGTCAGTGCAAAGGGACTGTGGTATCCACTGGGGGGTGGTTCCAGACCTCCCCTCCCCTATCCCTCAGGGATGCCCAAATCCTCAGATGCTCAAGTCCGTGATATAAAATGGCTTAGTATTTGCACATAACCGACATACTTCCTCTCATATACTTGAAGTCATCTCTAGATTAATTATAATACCTAATACAAATGCTGTGTAAATAGTTGTTATACCACTTGGAGTGCGGGTGAATTTCCCGCCAAAATATAAGATGGCTCTGTCTTTTGGTTTTGTTCCATCCACCAAAAGGGTGGATTACAAACAAATATTTGGTAATACGCAGTTACAATCGGCCCGAGTTTACACGTTTCCCGCACTCCACCGCAAATCTATATGAACCGAGTTAAAGACGGCTCCCGCGGAGTACGCGCAATTCACGCGAGCCGACTTAACTCGTTTCCCGCACTCCAAGTGATATTATATTGTTTAAGGATAGACTTTCTGGAGTTTTTTTTCCAATTAAAAATATTTTTTTTAAATGTATATATTTTTTTATATCAGAGAGAGGAAGGGAGAGGGAGAGAGAGAGAGAGAAACATCAATGATGAGAGAATCATGGGTCGGCTGCCTCCTGCACACCCCCTACTAGGGATCGAGCCTGAAACCCAGGCATGTGCTCCCCAAATTGAATAGTGACCTCCTGGTTCCTAGGTCGATGTTCAACCACTGAGCAACACCGGCCGGGCTTTTCCCAGTATTTTTGATCTGAGGTTGGTTGATGTGAGGATGTGGAACCGGAGGATCCGGAGGGCTGACAGGATGAAGGCGGAACCGAGGCCCGAGTAGCTGGCACGGGGCACGGGCACTGCTCTCGGGGCTGTGCGGCTGGTGCAGGACCCCGTAGCACGCACATCTGGCCCACAGCCCCTGAGAGCTCTCAGCAGCCCTTCCCTGATCGTCCCCAGTGTAGACGGCCCAGCCTCACTTCTCAAACGTGTGTTGTTTCTAAAGAGCTTTACTGAGACAGAATCACCATGAAATCCGCCCCTTTTTAGGTGGACAGCTAATGGTCTGAAGTATGTGAAGGTGGTGAGGCAACCACCACCACCCTCTAATTGCAGAACATCTGCATCACCCCGAAAAGACCTATTAAGTCACTCCCCCTCCCCCCAGCTCCTGGCAACCGCCCATCTGCTTTCTGTTTTATGGATTTGCCTGTTTGGGGAACATTTCATGTAAATGAAATCATAGTAATAGTGGCCTTTTGTGACTTTCAGCACATTTTTTTCTCCAAACGTTTTTCCCCCCTTAATTAGCAAAATCTACTTACTTCTTAGAGGGAAGTTGAAGGGGAAGCATCACAGCTTTTTTGGTGTCTCCCAGCCCCAGCCCTGCACACACTCTGGGCCCCACCCCTGACTCCCTACCACCCTCCCCACCAGCCTCCCCACCCCCGCTCCTCTGGGCCCTTTGGAGAAATCGGAATTCTGATTGGTGCCTGGTCTTTGCTCACTTTGGTTTATCCTCAGGCATTCTTTCTTTTTTTAAAAAAATATTTTTTTAAAAATATATTTTATTGATTTTTTACAGAGAGGAAGGGAGAGAGATAGAGAGTCAGAAACATCTATGAGAGAAAAACATCGATCAGCTGCCTCCTGCACATCTCCTACTGGGGATGTGCCCGAAACCAAGGTACATGCCCTTGACCAGGATCGAACCTGGGACCCTTCAGTCCGCAGGCCGACGCTCTATCCACTGAGCCAAACCGGTTTCAGCTAAAAAAATATTTTTATTGATTTCAGAGAGGAAGGGAAAGGGAGAGAGAGATAGAAACTGAGAGAGAATCATGGATCGGCTGCCTCCTGCATGCCCCACACTGGGGATCAGGCCTGCGATCCAGGCTTATGCCCTGACCAGGAATCAATCAGTGACCTCGCGATTCATAGGTTGACATTCAGCCACTGAGCCACACCAGCCGGGCTGTCCTCAGACATCCTGTCAGCTCTTTTCTGCTAATTTCTCAGTGGCTGCCCCTCAAGCTCCAGTCTCTGAGCCTCTCTCAGGGTCCTGCCCTGTGGAGCTGGGGCCAACCCTGTGGGCCCGGAACTGGGTTCGAATCCTGATGGGGCCCTCCTCATGAGCTGTGTGACCTTGGGCTAGTTAACCATCACGCTGCACCTCGGTTTTCCCATCTGTACAGCGGACATGATACCAGGACCCGATGAGATGGTCCAGGGCTATGGGTGCTACCACCCCCTTAACAGGGAGGAGTTTGGATTTGAAGTCTGGGTCAGGATCCTGGTTCTGGCTTTGCCACGTGCTGGCTGTGCAGCCACAGGAGGTCACTTCCTGTCTGAGCCTGCATTTCCAGGGTCGAAACAGGCTGAGAAGGGTGGCTTCGTGGCTATTGGGCAGATCAGTCGTGAATCTGGACAGGAAAATGGATGGTAAACTGTAAAGCGCGGTGCCCTGTGAGGGTCCCTCCTGCGCGCGCTGGTCTGTCAGCCTCCCTGTGGTTTGACACACGTTGACCTTCCTGGTCTTCTACCTGTTGACCCTCTAAGGAAAGCCCACCATGGGGTCCTCTCCACCTCGTCCCCTTGGTGCCTGCTCCCAGCCTCGCCGTCTGAGCGTGGCTGCTTTCCTGTGTGGCTCTTCCTGAAAGGCAGGCAGTGTTAAGGGTGGTTGAGCGAGGGCGCTGCTCTGGCCGGCGTGGTTCAGTGGTTAGAGCATCGGACCTCACACCGAAGGGTCTCGGGTTCGATTCCCGGTCAAAGGCATGTACCTGGGTTGCAGACTTGCTCCCCAACCCCAGTTGGGGCTCGTGCGGGAGGCAACCAATCAGTGTATCTCTCTCATGTGGATGTTTCTCTCTCTCTCTTCCTCCTTTCCACTCTCTCTTTAAAAAAAAAAAAAATCAATGAAAAAAATACCCTCAGGTGAGGATTAACAAAACAAAAAAATCGAGTGAGGGCTCTGTGGGGGTCAACCTGGGGTGGGGTGGGGGGCTGAGTTACAATCCTAGGTTTGCCACTTAGTGGTCAGGTGACCTTGAGCAAGTCGCTTAACCAAGGCTTAATCTCTTGGAACCTCAGTTTTTCTTCCCGTGAAATGGGCATAATAATAGTACCTACCTCAGGATTGGGGGGTTCATCATATTGCTGTTATGAAGAAACCCGCCGGGCCAGTGAAGCCGGCTCAGTAAACGGGGCTGCCGCCATCACTGTGGGTGCCTGGGCTCGTGAGGGCTGCAGGAGATGTTTCAGGCCTCCCCGTGGTGAGTGTCGGATGGAGACTTTTGTGGGAGCCCTCGGGCCGAAGGTCCCCTTCTCGGTCCTTGAGCACCTGGCTGACCCAGGCCACAGAGGCCACGGGTCTTGGTCTGGCCACCGAGGGGGGCTGTGGCTACAGAGGATGACCCTCCCTGGACGTCGGCAACGACAGCCCCAGGTGATGTTCTGGTGGCTTCCAGCTCCCCCTCCTCTAGGGCCGTCCCTGGAGCCGGGGGCCCAGCATACCGAGGAGGAAACCCAGGGGCGTGGCGAAGCTGAGACTGTCCAAGGTTGTCCGGAGGGTAGGGTGGTGTCTGTACTGGCACCTGGCCCCTCGGGCCTGGGGGTCCACGCTTCCCACGGCCCCTCCGTGGCAGAAGGACTCGGATGCAGAAACGTGGCAGTGGAGGCAGGGCCGATGGACAGGCCAGGCCTGGTCAGAGGTCATGGAGCTAGGAGTCAGGTCTCCTGGGAGAGGGAGCATGTTGGGGACAGTGTGGGGTTCTCTCTGGGGCTGCCCTCCTGGCCTCTGGGCTGGTTCCCTGAGGCCCAACGGCTCCCCAGGCCCTCTCGCCTCCCCAGCTTAGTAACGCCTTTCCTGGCCCCTGGAGAGTCCTCCTTTCCTTAGGAGGCAGCTGAGGCCGGGCCGCACGGCAGGAGGTGAGCAGCAGGCTGTCGGCGGTGTTGCTGGGGGGCAGCTGAGAAAACAGACCTGCGCTGGGCAGCCCCTTCTGCCAGGAGATGTAGCTGTCAGGCCCCAGCTCCCTGCAACCCCAAGGCTCCTCGGCACCAGGCCTGTGACTCAGTTTCTCTGGCTGACACCTGTGCGGCCCATGCCCAGCCTGGTCCCTTCCTCCACCCTGGGGTGGACACCGAGCTGGCCTGGAGCCCCACAGCCGCCTGTCGGCGCCTGCCTCATCCTGCGGCTCTGCACTTGGAGTGTGCTGGCTGCCCGTGCGGGTGCTTGGAGTGGCTGTGGGGGCCTCTGTGTGCCGGGCACCTGCTGGGGCCTGGGGGCTGGGTGAGGAGCAATAGAGAAGGCCCCTCCCTCTTTCGTACCGACGCAGAGCCATGGTGGGGTGCACAAAAGAGGGTGCCTCGGGGGCTCCCCTCCCCGGGGAGTCCCCTCCTCTCTGATGAGGTTCACCCTCAGCCCCCCACTCTCTGCCCTCACTGCTCTGAGCCCGCTGGCGTCTCCCATCTGAGGCCCTCTGGCTGCCCAGTCTCTCTTTTTGCTCATTGTTTTCCTGACTCAGGGACTCCTGGCACCCTCCCCCCCCAGCCTTCCCGAAGCAGACCCCTCTGGGCAGCTTCTCATTTCCCAGCCCCCACAGGAGTTTGCCTGCCGGGTGCTGTCACCCACACCATGGATGGTGTGCGCCTGACCAGCCACCCCCCGTGTGGAGCTGTGTCCCCTGCTGCCCTAGATAAACCAGGAGGTGACCGAGTGTCTGACACTCCGACCAAAGGAGTCACTTACAGCCCCTCCCTCAACCCCCGACCCAGCTCTCGGGCCCCTTTGTAGGCACCTCCGTTTGGGGCGCCCCTCAGAGTTCTAGGCAGAGCCCAGAGCACCCAGGGTTCCGATTGTGATGCAAGAAGGAGACTGGAGCCTGGCTGCCGGCAGGTGGCGGGGGGCATCCTGACCCCCCGGTAAATGCTGGAAAACCCCACTTCCCTCTGAGTGCCAGGCAGCGCGCTGAGGACAAGCGAGGTCAGAGCACACCCAGCCCGCACCAAGGACGCAGCCTGTCTGGGCCGCCCGTTCACAAATGGACCGTGCTGGGGTGATTGCTGGGGGAGGACCTTGGGGAGGGGGACCCCTACCTTTCAAAAGGAAATAGACCCGCCTGTTTTAGGGTGAAGGGGGTGCAAGAGGAATACACATTCTTTGAGACTTAAAAATAACTGAAAAGCATAAAGAATCGGTCATATAATGCCATAGTCCAGGGACCTCTGCTTTGTGGTACTTCCCGCACAGTTTTGTTTGGGGTTTTTCTTTGACTCTGTGGAGACACGTTTCCCGGTGTTGTTTAAAGCTCCCGGGAAACACAGCTAATGACCGCACACCAGGCTGTGCCCCTCAGGCTGGCCCTTCCCCACGGCTGGTGTTCAGGTGATTCCCAATGTTGGGACTAAGGACTGAAACGCTGCCTAGAGCAGTGATGGCGAACCTTTTGAGCTCGGCGTGTCAGCATTTTGGAAAACCCTAACTTAACTCTGGTGCCGTGTCACAGATAGAAATTTTTTGATATTTGCAACCATAGTAAAACAAAGACTTATATTTTTGATATTTATTTTATATATTTAAATGCCATTTAACAAAGAACAACCAATCAAAAAAATGAGTTCGCGTGTCACCTCTGACACGCATGTCATAGGTTCGCCATCACTGGCCTAGTGCAAACTGTTCCTCATTCCCCTGTGGGGCCACGGCTCTGAGCACCCCCCCACCAGGCTCTTACCAGAAGGGGTACCGGGAGCGTGTAGAGAGTGGCATGGGCTTTGCCACCTGCGTGCCCATGGCCTAGCACATGCGGGGGGTGGGGGGGGGGGGGGCTGTAGGAATTGGAGCTCCGGGACCACCTGGTCCTGTCCTGTGTTCTTCTTGCTGTGCCCTTAGCGCCCCCCAACCCCACCCGCCGCGGCTTCCAGCCCTCTCGGGGTCTGTGTTTTGGAATCCTTGTCCCCTATCATGAGCGACAGCGCTGGTGTCAGGGCCTTTGCCTTCGAGGCGGGTGGAGCCCATGGCCGGCTTCTTCCCCAAGGCCCCGGAAAGACTGAGCTCTGGTCCTGAGCCCGCAAGACTGTCGATGGCCACCTCAGCCCCTGAGCCCGCAGACTGTCGACACACACACACACACACACACAGGAGATTTCACACACACACACCCCGGGAACCCCAACGTCTGGCCTCTTTGGAACGGTCAGAAGGTTGGCAACACGGAGCCCTTGTCCTCCTGGCCCTGTCCGCAGGGGGTATGGTGGCTGCCTCCTGCAGGTGATCTTGGGGGTGCAGTCCACACTGCCCCTCACCTGCCTTACCTGGTGGCCCTGGAGGCAGGGGCTTTGTCACCTGCTGTTTAGAGGCCCGATGTGAAAGCCCCACCTCTAACCCTCCTCAGGGTGAGTCCAGGGCGCGGGGCGCGCATCCCAGAATGCTCTGCCAGGAAGACGGCACACGTGCTCGCGTCAAAGTCCTTGTGCCTTTTGGGTTCTTTCCCAAGGAGAGGGTCTGCGGGCGGCTGGAGCTCGGCTCCACGGAGGGTCGCCATCCTGGGACCTGCCCGCTGGGGGCTGGTTTCCCGCCCAGGGCTCCCGCCGAGCCAGGTCACCCTTGCCTCCGGATGGGGTGCACGCCCTTCTCACCCGCCGCAACTCCTGCGAGGCAGGCTGGGAGCTGGGGTGGACGCAGGTCCCAGATGTGCTCTGCTCACTGGCAGGCCCGTCTCCGCAGGCAGCCTCACCAGGAAGCACTCCACGTGGAAAATCCTAGGGGCTGGGCAAGGACGGAGCCTGGCTTCCTAGTGCCTACCGTTTGCGCAATCTGGGGAGCCTTTTAGGAGAAAAGAATATAAAGTTACAGATACAGAGGTAGGCACAGGCCTTGGCGGGGGCCTGTGCAAGGCGCGCATCCTGAGGGGCAGCCCCCTGAGCCTCCCGGTGAGCTGCCCCTGGCGTGAGCCCGGAGGGTACAGGGGTCGCAACATCTGCTGCATCTGCCCGCAGACTTGCCTGGGAGCTCGGGCCGGCTGGGTCCTGGGTGGGAGAGGGTGCCGAAGGCTGGCGGGCCCGGGCCAGGTGTGGCCTGATGCTCGGACACAGGGAGGGCTGGGCCGAGGCCTGGGCGTGGGCTGGAGGTGAGCAGGGCTCATTGTGACCCTGGCTTTGTGCTGGCAGGTGGAGAGCCTGAAGGAGAAGCTCATCAGCCAGGCCCAGGAAGTGAGCCGCCTCCGATCAGAGCTGGTGAGGCCACCATTGCGTCCCGCAGGGGGCAGCGGGCGGGCGGGGCGGATGTGTAGTCTGGCCTCCAGACGAGGGGTGAGGGGTGTGAGCCCAGCAGCCCAAGGGGGGCAGCATCCTGCCTGGGAAATGCTCCCGGATACTTACCACCTTCACTAGGCCCTCCGAGGTCATGTGACGCCCCGGGGCGGGAGGTGACTTCTCCCTTGCGATGTGAAATCGGAGTGTGAACTCTGTATAAATACGACTTGTGACTTTCACACTCAGGAAAATAGGATGCCGGGGGTGGGGTGCTGCCGGAGCAGTGCCTGTCTCACCGCCCTCTCCATCTCTCTCTCCTGTCTTCGTCTTTCTCTCCGGAGCCCCTTCTCTCCCTCGCTCGCCTTCCTTCCTCTTTTCTCCTTCTCTCTGTCTTTCTCCGCCCTCTCCCTGCCCTTGCACACACTCTGCCCCTCCCCCCCTGCTTCCCCGTGACCAACCCGGCCACATGCCCCCTGGGCTGACTCCGCAGGGAGGCACAGACCTGGAGAAGCACCGCGACCTGCTGATGGTGGAGAATGAGCGACTGAGGCAGGAGATGCGGCGCTGCGAGGCCGAGCTGCAGGAGCTGCGTGCAAAGCCGGCGGCCCCCTGCGCAGGCTGCGAGCACAGCCAGGTGAGCACAGGGCCAGGGGGTCCCCGAGGGCCCCTTCCTAACAGGGTCCCAGCTCCTCACAAGGGACCCTGCTGGCTCGTCCGCCTGTCTGTCTGCCTCACACGGGTCCTGGCCTGTCCCCCCGTCTGCAGGAGAGCGCCCAGCTCCGGGACCGGCTGGCCCAGCTGCAGCTGGAGGTGGCGGAGAACAAAAGCATGCTCTCCGAGCTGAACCTGGAGGTGCAGCAGAAGACCGACCGGCTGGCCGAGGTGGAGCTGCGGCTCAAGGACTGCCTGGCCGAGAAGGCGCAGGAGGAGGAGCGGCTCAGCCGGCGCCTGCGCGACAGCCACGAGACCATCGCCAGCCTGCGGGCCCAGTCGCCGCCCATCAAGGTGGGAGCCTGGGCTGTGCCTCGGGGCTTGGCCCCTGGTGCCCGGGGCAGGGCTGGCATGCAGGAGCAGGTGTGAGTGGTGAAGGCGGCGCTCCGGGTCTGCACTCAGGCAGTCTCTGGCCTGTCCCCCCCCTCATGCTCTCCAGGGCCAGGCACGCGGTAGGCATCCGGCAACCGATGGTGGAGGTGCCCACCGCAGGCCAGGCATGGACATAGGGCATCACCGGGTGCCCTCATCTTTGCTCTCTCTGCTCTGTGCCGAGGCTGGGGCCACAGCCGGGCTCATAGTGGCTCATTAAGAGGAGAAGGTCCCAGGAGGCCCTGGCAGCAATCCGGGAAGCCAGGACCTTGCAGCGTCACTGGCTTTTTCAGGGGCTCTTGGTGGGGTGTCCCTGAGGGTCCCCTCCCCAGGCCAGCTGAGTCCCAGGGCCTCAGAGTGAGGTCGAGGCGCACCCACACCCCCCTGCTCCCCTCCCTCTCGCGCCCGCAGTATGTCATCAAAACGGTGGAGGTGGAGTCGCCCAAGACCAAGCAGGCCCTCAACGAGTCCCAGACCCGGAACCAGCACCTGCAGGAGCAGGTGGCCATGCAGAGACAGGTGCTGAAGGAGATGGAGCAGCAGCTGCAGAGCTCGCACCAGCTGACCGCACAGCTGCGGGCCCAGGTGCGCAGGCCTTGGGGGGGTGCGTGTTGGGGTGCGTGTGGGGGTGCGCATGGCTGTGGGGCAGGACGTGCATGCAGCAGAGGCCAGCCTTTCGTACAGGCCACAGACCCAGGCTCTGGTCCCTCCTCTTCCCGCTGACCGTGTGACCAAGGGCCAGTTTTGTCGGAGTTTCTGTTTCCTCATCTATAAAATGGTGTGATCACACCTCACGTTGTGACTCAGGGACCGACTCGCAAGAGGCTCTTCTCACAGAGGCCTCGGGCCCAGCACACCCGCTCTTGGAAGGGGCTCTAGTCAGTATCGTAGCAAACACGCTCCCCTGGGCTGTGTGCACCTGTTATGTGCCAGGAACCAGGTTGGTGCTAGAGCAACATAGGGAAGTAGCCGCATGGAGCTCATGGCTCCGTGGGGGAGAGAGATGGCCATCCTACCCCTCTCCTGTGCGTGTGCATGTGCATGCGTGTGTGTGGGGGGGGGGGGTAAGAAGAGACAGGGCTTCTTTCTGGCACCCCGCCCCCACCCGGCCCCATGTACTGAGCCTCTGGCGTTGGCCGCCAGATCGCCATGTACGAGGCGGAGCTGGAGCGGGCGCACGGGCAGATGCTGGAGGAGATGCAGTCCCTGGAGGAGGACAAGAACCGGGCCATCGAGGAGGCCTTCGCCAGGGCCCAGGTGGAGATGAAGGCCGTGCACGAGAACCTGGCAGGTGAGCCGCCACCTGGGCCCTGGCCTGCCCCGCGCGGCACCCCTCACCCCGCCCGCCTGACACCCCTCCCGTCCCATAGGCGTCCGGACCAACCTGCTGACGCTGCAGCCCGCGCTGCGGACCCTCACCAACGACTACAACGGGCTCAAGCGGCAGGTGCGCGGCTTCCCCCTGCTGCTGCAGGAGGCCCTCAAGGGCGTCAAGGCCGAGGTGAGTGCCAGCCAAGGGGGTGGTGCTGGGAGAGGCCTTGAGCCCTTGGGCACAGGCCGCATCCACCCAGGTGCTCTTCCAAAATGCAGACCGATCCCCAGACAACTGTCCCCTCCGCCCCCACACACACACACACACACTGCCACCCAGACCCTGTTTGAAAAAGTCTGCTCAGGGGCAGGCATTTGGGCATTTGTTCTATTCTGACTCTTGAACCCAAACATGTTACAGATAGCCTCGTATCTCAGACATGCTACCTACATCCGTACATCTGCTAGCTTGAAGTTAAGTTTTGCGAGCTGCGCCTGTTCGATGTGAGAATAGCCAGTGTCTCTCACGTGCCTCCCACACGCTGAGCCTTTTATAGCCGCCGGCTCCTTGGATCTGAATGATGGCTCTGCAGGGCAGAGAGACTGATATATTTTAGGAGTAGAAAACAGTTCTTTAAAATATGATGTCAGTAAAGCATGGACATGGTAGGAAGAAGGGCATCAGATGAGAAGGAAGGGACTCTGCCACCCTGCTCCCCGAGGGCGGCCTCTGTGCCAGCAATTCCCGGGCGTTCTGTGCCCTCTGACCCACAGGGCAGCATCGGGGCATGTGCCCGGCCTCCTGCTGCTTCCCCCTGCGAAACGCAGCGTGGAGATCTTTGCCTACGGGCTCCTACAGATCCACACGAGTTAGATGCTGTTGGCCCCACTTTACAGATGGGAAAACTGAGGCTTGAAGGCATGGAGCCTGTTGCCCCGGGTCCCAGCTACTCGGGGTAGAGCTGGGGTTGGGGTCCAGCGGAATGTGAGGTCAAGGGCGAGTGCTGTGGCGTGAAGCTGAGATGCCGCTCTTTGTGCAGCCGGGCAACCTTGAACTATGGGCTCAGCCTCTCGGGGGCTCCGTTTCCTTCTTTGTAAAATGGAACTGGTAGCAGCACCCCCACCTCCCCAGAGGGGACTCAGCCCAGGGCGGGGGACAGTGCTCAGCCAGCCGGGGGGCAGGCAGCCTGTGGCGCTGCCCCCCGACGGTGCTGCGTGTCCCCCACCAGATTGGCCAGGCCATCCAGGAGGTCAACAGCAACAACCAGGAGCTGCTGCGCAAGTACCGCCGGGAGCTGCAGCTGCGCAAGAAATGCCACAACGAGCTCGTGCGGCTGAAAGGTGACTGCGGGGCGGGCTGGGGGGCGGGGTGCCGGCACAGGGGTCCTCCACCTGGCTCAGGGGTGACCCTGCCCCTCCCCACGGCCCCCAGCACCACTCCGTGGAGCTATGCCCTGTCACAGAGGAGCTGTTGTCTTTCCATCTTTGAGGATAAAGCAGCCGAGACACAGAGCAGTCAGGGATTGGATCTGTCCAACCCCGAGGCCCTTGCCAGTGTCCACAGCAGGCCGCCCCCAGGCCTGGGTGGTGAGGGGCTGGAACGCCACCTGTTCTGACCTAGGGCCGGGCCACGCCTGAGATTTCACCCGTTCACGGCACAAAGGCCTAGGGAGCGCCTGTCCTGTGCCAGGTGCTGCTCCAGACTCGGAGACCTGGCAGTGGCCCTCAGACGCCATCCCTGCCGCACGGCGCTCACTTCAGCTGGGAGGGCAGACAGTGATCCTCCAGCAGCCAGAGAACCCTGACAGGGGTTCCCTTACCAGGGCTGGGGAGGAGGGGTGCTGGGGGGCTTCCTGGAGGAGGCAAAGCTAGACCTGAGACCTGGGCTGGGAGTTGGCGTGGACAGGTGGAGGGGGACGTGGGCCCCGGCGAGCTGTGGTGGGGAGTTTTCTCTTCATTCCAGGGGCACTGGGATCCCACCGGAGGGCTTGCAGATCCACGCCTCCAACACCCCGCCCCCCGAAGGCAGCCTGTCTGCCAGCAATTCCCAGGGCGTCCCCGGCCTCCTATCCACCCGATCCCACAACTGACCTTTCTCCCTGTCCCCAAGGGGAAGCTCCCACCCTCCACTGGTTTGCTCAGGAAGAAAATGTACCAGTAAGGGAATTCATACTACAGTGTGAGTGACTGATAAGAGCTGTGTGGCCCCGGGGGCCTTGCTTAGAAGGCAGGAGGCTCCTGAGGCACTAGCCTACTGAGGATTCCAGCGGCACCAGCACGGAAGCCGTCTGGTCCTGACCCAGCCTGTCCCCATTCTCTCCTCCCCCACCCAACCAGGCAACATCCGGGTGATTGCCCGTGTCCGGCCAGTCACCAAGGAGGATGGGGAAGGACCTGAGGCGACCAACGCGGTGACCTTCGATCCTGACGACGACTCCGTCATCCACCTGCTGCACAAAGGGAAGCCTGTGTCCTTCGAGCTGGACAAGGTCTTTTCCCCGAGGGCCTCCCAGCAGGACGTGAGTGTGGCTCTCAGGTCGGGGTGGGGAGAAGGGACAGAGAGCAGTGGAGAGAGGGGGACACAGAGACTCACCAGGAAAGGGACAGATGGTGGGGGACGGGGGGCAGAAAGCAGGGTGAGCGTCGGGGAGACAGGGTAGAGAGGCCTGGGTGTCAGGATCCCTCTCTCCTTCCCTCTGGAGAGAAGAGCGTGGGAAGCTAAGTCTGAGGGCCTTAGAAGCCTCTGCCGGGAAGGAGAGATCCATGCACAGTCCCTCCCACCACGTGGCCCCGCCCACCCCAAAGCCACCCACGTGGCTCTTCACAGCCACATGACGCTGGCCAGCTCTGAGCTGGGTCCCTCCAGCCTGTGAGAGGCCTGGGGTCTCAGCATCTGCTCTTGTCTCATCCCTGCCAGGGCCAACCTGCCCGGCCTGTTTGGCCTGTGCTCTCCTCTCTCTATGCCCAGCTCTACCTTTGCCCCCGTCCTCTGCCCACTGTCAGGCGGGCGGAGGAGGCGCCAGGCATGTGACTGGCCTCTGTCTTCATCTGGCTGCGCCCTCTAGGGGTGGGGGCGGGTCTCCTGCGCTCCAGGGCTGGGAGGCCCCTTGCTCAGGTGTTGGGGGCAGTAAGCCGGCCCTGCCTTCCCGTCCGTCTTTGGGCAGCGAGGTTCCCATCGGTGTCCAGCGCCCCTGACTCGTTAGTCCTGGATTGCTCCACAGTGAGCCGTTGTCCAGTCACGTGCTGTGTTGTTGCTGAAGGAGGGAGCGGTGGGGGGGGGGGGGTGGCTGGACGAGGTGCTGATGGGGACCCTGGTCCCAGCAGCCCCCGCAGCCCCACACCCTCCATCCCTGTCCCCTCCCAGGTCTTCCAGGAGGTGCAGGCCCTGATCACCTCCTGCATCGACGGGTTCAATGTCTGCATCTTCGCCTACGGCCAGACGGGTGCCGGCAAGACGTACACGATGGAGGTGGGTGCCCGCCGCCTGGGGCGGGGTTCAGACCGTGAGGACCACCCCTGGCTGCCACGGGTGGGGGCTCAGGGTTCTGCGTGGTGTGTGGTGCCTCCTTCGGTCTTCACAACCTCCCCGCCACCAGTGCCTGAAGAGGGGGCGCCTTGCCCAAGGGCACTGGGATGGTCCCCGTGGTCGGAGGGGCAGGGGTGACGACAGCCACCACAGAAGGGTCCTGGCCTGAAGTCAGAGTCAGGCTCTCAGGACCGGCTCTCCTGGAATGGATTGGGCTCCACACGCGTTTATTGGGCTCCTGCGGGATGGCTGCCCGGGCTGGGCCCTGGGGCTACCAGGATGGGTGAGGGCAGGTCTGTGCCCTGGAGGCGGTCCCGGCCCCGTGGGAGAGACTGGCCGGTGAAGACTGTGGTGGGTGGGAGCCCTGCTCTTACCGGCCTCCTCCCTGCTGGCGGCTGTCCCCTCCCCTCGGGGACCCAGCCTCTAGAGGAGGAAGAATCTTGTCTGTAGATGAAAATGGAAGGCTGGCCCCCGGGGTCTTTGGTTTGTCAGCATTTCCCTGGCTCTTGACGGGGCGGTGTCCTGGGTAGAGACGGAGGGCAAGTGTCCTGGTGTCGGGACCAGGGGAGGACAAGGCGAGTGAGAGGGCCCTGTGGTGGGAGGGGCCCTCAGAGGGGAAGCCAGAGCCCAGGTGAGATTTCCTCTCAGAAAGGCCGGGAGCTCAGGGTCCCAAGGTCCCTGCCGGCTCCACCTGGGCCTCCCCTCCGCCACCTAGAGCCTGGCTCACGGCCTCCCTGATATCGGGCCCCTGTGGGCAGCGGCAGGGAAATCGGGTTCCCCGTGTCCGTCCCAGGCGGCTCACCAGGGCCAGGTACACATCTGGCTCCCAGCAACCGTGTGCTGTCCCCGGCCGGCATTTCACCTGGGCGCCCTGCTCTGCCTAGGGCAGTCCGGCAGGGGGTACCATTTTAAAGGTGGGAAACTGAGGCCCAAGCAGGTGAATGAAGTTGCTTGCAGTGGCGGGAGGGGGTTTGGGGACAGACCAGCCTGCAGACGGAGGCTTCGGGCAGGGAGGCTGGGGGCCACAGGCACCCTGTGAGCATCTGCACGGGCCACCCCTCGTGGTGGGGAGGGGCCCAGCTCACGGGGCCTTGCTTCTGCCCCCAGGGAACCCCTGAGAACCCAGGCATCAACCAGCGGGCCCTGCAGCTGCTCTTCTCCGAGGTGCAGGAGAAGGCCTCCGACTGGGAGTTCACCATCACCGTCAGCGCGGCCGAGATCTACAACGAGGCCCTCAGGTTGGAGGCGGGGGGGTCAGCAGGTGGAGGGCCCTCGGGTGGGTGGTTCTCAGGTGTGAGCCCTCAGGTGGGCGCCCTGGGGTGGCACATGCCTCCGGGAAGCGTTGTGGTCTCGGACCGTGTAGAGCCAGGTGGGATGGGAATGGGAGTCTCCTTGAAGGAGTGGGGGGCTGTACACCAGGACTCAGCTCAGAGGGTCTGCTGGCCCCAGGCCCCCCGCCCCCCAGTAGGCAGGAGAGGAGGGCAGGGAGGAGGGCTCACTCTCTGCTCCCTAGCCTTGGGCCGCCCACCTGAGGAGTTCCTTTTCCCTGGAAGCTGCTCCGTAGCCCTGGGCCGCCCACCTGAGGAGTTCCTTTTCCCCTGGAAGCTCCTCCCATACCCACAGGCTGCCCAGGTGTGATAAGTGAGAGTGGGCTGTGGGGGGCCTGCCCACAGCGGCCAGTGCACTGTGGGGGCAGGAGGAGCACCACCACAGGCCTTTTGGGGGACAGTCGGTCTCCGCCCTTCAGTGGGCTGAGTGCAGGGAGGAGGAGGAGGGGCTTAGCCCAGTGTCCAGGAAGGGGTGTGGTTGGATGGGGGACATTCCAGGTTTGGGGCAGGTGCAGAGCCAGCAGACACAGGAGGAGAGCGTGACTGTCGTCCCCTCCACCCCACCCCCGGCAGGGACCTGTTGGGGCAGGAGCCCCAGGAGAAGCTGGAGATCCGGCTGTGCCCTGACGGCAGCGGGCAGCTGTACGTGCCAGGGCTGACGGAGTTCCGGGTGCAGAGCGTGGACGACATCAACAAGGTGTGGAGCTGGGGGGACGGGGCGGGGAAATGTGGGGAGCCCCCGCCCAGAGCTTTCTGAGCCTGTTTCCTCCGCTGTGCCATCCAGAGGGTGACACCCTCACTGGGGTGGGTACTTGGGGACGGGGCGATCCCAAGGCCCCGCTCGAGCCCCGTACCTCTGCCCGCCCGCCCCCAGGTGTTTGAGTTCGGCCACACCAACCGCACCACGGAGTTCACCAACCTGAACGAGCACAGCTCCCGCTCGCACGCCCTGCTCATCGTGACGGTGCGCGGCGTGGACTGCAGCACCGGCCTCCGCACCACGGGTGAGTGAGGGCCCGGGGCGGCCTGCCCAGCCCCCCCCCCACGCCCGCCTCTGGGGCGCCCTTGACCTGCCCAGCGCCCTCCCACAGGGAAGCTGAACCTGGTGGACTTGGCCGGCTCGGAGCGCGTGGGCAAGTCGGGGGCCGAGGGCAGCCGCCTGCGGGAGGCGCAGCACATCAACAAGTCGCTGTCGGCCCTGGGGGACGTCATCGCGGCGCTGCGCTCCCCCCAGGCCCACGTGCCCTTACGCAACTCCAAGCTCACCTACCTCCTGCAGGACTCGCTCAGCGGGGACAGCAAGACCCTCATGGTGGTGCAGGTGAGGCCTGGGGGGGGGGGCGTGGCCAGCACCAAGACCGGGGCCCCTTCTGGGTACCCAGGCTGTGCAGGGAGGGGACCCTCAGCAGCTCCAAAGTCCGTGACATGCACCCCGACAGGGCCACCCCCCCCTGTGTGCCTCCCAAGTTCCTTCACTTGGGCCAGAGTCCCCTGGCCGTGAGCGCCCTCTGGTGAGCACGCTGCCCCTCATTCTGTGGGGGCAGCCGCCTGGGGTGGAGAGTGAGCCCTCATGTCCCCTAGGTGTCCCCCGTGGAGAAGAACACCAGCGAGACCCTCTACTCCCTCAAGTTTGCTGAGAGGGTGCGCTCTGTGGAGCTGGGCCCCGGGGCCCGCAGGGCGGAGCTGGGGTCCTGGTCCAGCCAAGAACACCTGGAGGTAGGGGGCTGGCTCAGGCCTGCGGGGGGCACTTCCAGGTCAGGGGCCGGAGGGAGGGCCCGGGAGGGGTGACAGCCTGGGGCGGGGCACGCCAGAGGGGCTGGAGCCAAAACTTGAACCCAAACCCAGTAGCGAAAGTAGTTCTTGGCCTTCGAGGTGCCCGTGGGGTCGTCAGCCGGCCGGGCGGGCGGGGCGTGGGGTGGCGCACAGGTGCTCGGCATTGACTAGGTCCCGTCTTTCCCTGCGTTACCTCGTTTAACTCTCGCAATAACAAGCGTGGTGCCGTCACGGCAGCCATTTTGCAGACGCGGGAGCCGTGTCAGGAGGCTGGGAGGGGCGGGGAGGGGAGCGTGGTTCATTTTTTGCAAGGAGCACGGCCCCACCCACCTGCTCCCTCTGCCCACAGTGGGAGGCGGGCTGCCAGACGCCACCGGGCTCCACACGAACCCATTCGCCTCCCGGCTCTGGGTCCTGCACCCGCCCAGGCTCCATCCGGAGGAGGCTGCAGCCCTCAGGCGAGCATTTCGTTTCTTGAGCCCGGGTGGTGATTTTTTTTTCGTAAAACGAGGGGCCAGTCACGGCACTGCCCTTACCTAGACGGGCTTTTTAGAAATTTTTCTTTTTAAGAAAAGTTTCTAAAACTTCTCCAGAGCCTGTTTCACAGCCTTCCCCGGCCCTGGGCTTTAGCCGGAGCAGATGGAGCAGTGTCCGTTCACAGAGGAAACGGAA